TGTTTTTATGATGCATTGGGCCCAGACGCGCTTGCTATGCGCGCCCCCCAGTCTGGGCCCATCCTTTATTTCAAATGCATTTAATTACTCATGGCACCCCCTCATCTCACTTAATTCACATTATTTTCTTAATTCATTTTATTCTTTGAAAAAATCATAAATAATTGAAAAATGCATGATTTTAATTGGTTGTTTTTGCATATTGTTCATAATTTTGTTAAGAAAAATATCACATAAAAAATTGGTATTTCATTTTATTTTTATATTTTTAGCATATTTTTCTTTTAAATAGGATTAAATAATGTGTAGTTTGATGCATGAATTTGGTGATTTTAGTTTGATTAAATGCCTTTATATTTTTGATCCATTATTTTTAGGTTGATTAGTATAGAATGTTAGCTTGTATATAAAATTTAATTCACAATTTTAGAATTTAATCTTAGGTGATTTGTTTAGGTATGAATAACATGATCAAAACCATGGTTTAGGAGATAACATAGGTGTAGTGAATTAATTCTTTCAGGAGTTAGAGATTGAATCTTTGGGGTATGGGACTATAGGGATTATGGGTAGTTAATAGATCCCTTAGAAATTACTAGGTTTCCCCTATTCAGCTATTACTATTAGTATACTGTCTGTATTTGTTTGACTGTGTGGTGTGCCCTCTCTAGGGTTATTTCATTTGTCTGTGTGGGGTATTGGGTTTGCTTGGGGATTGGGAGAGCTGAAGACTTGTGATGATGAAGCCATTGGAGATCAGAGATTGAAGTCCAACTTCCAGAGTTGGTGAGGAGCATCCTTTGCTGGCAGCTGTTGAAGGCTATAGGGTTCAGGAGCTAGGCAGAGCTCTAGAGTAGAAAACTTGATTCACAAACATGGAAGGCCTTGTCTGCCTCCATTCTTTCTCTATGATTCAAAGTCTCTTTCAAATATCCACCTCCTTCCTTTGGAAGGATCAGTGAATGTATTTGTAAGATAGAACTTTTGAGAGAAAATTGTCTGTATAATGTTAACAGTTAATGAGCCACCCTTGGTAGGCAGTTGACTGTTTAACATTCATTTCATCTTGTTGACTGATATTCATCCTTGGAGATTGAGACTTGAAGAAAAGTCATTGCAGATGGAAGACTGATGACAAAGACCTTGCTTGGAGGCTGTGGAGATGGAGATTGATGCATTGCTTGAAGCCTGTAGCTGTTTGGAGATGACTTGAAGACAAATGCTGATGCAGAGCTGCTGTTGCTGTCTTTCTTTTTGCTGTTTATTTTTCTTGATGTATTGATTGGTTTTCCCTAACTGTATTGTTTGCTGTTTACCCTGTTAGGTTGAAAGTGAATGTTGTTCACTTTTTCCTGTTGTTTTCTAGGTTCGAGGTTGAGTGGGACTCCCTTGCCTCGCTTGTATTGTTGCCTCCATGCATTTTACTGCTTTATTGTATATATGCTATTGTTTCTGTTTCCGTCTATTCCCTTAGGATCTCTGTTTCTCTCTGCGCAAGAGAGGAGCATGATAGACACTAGGTCTTAACCCATGCATGATAACATTAGGTTAGTTTGACTCCCTTTTCAACCGTAGGTTAGAGTTCTGTTTCTTCTTTCTCAGAACAAACAGAAAAACATAAATAAATATTTCGGACACAATAAAAGACACTTCTTCCGTAAAAGAATGTGAACTCATCAAAACGTCATTTTTGTCCGCTTGGACCAGTAAGCAGAAAACCCTTTTTCAGAAGGAATAAAAACAATCAAGACAAGCTTGTGTCGTACGTGGCCCGAACTACGTTTGCTCTGATCTTCCATGCTGTGTGGAAGTACGTAGGCATAGGATGCGATATCCTAGCGAGCAACCTTCCCCTCCTTTCCCGTAGGTAGGCGAACTACGTTGACTCTGATTTCTCGTTCCAGACGGGAATACGTAGGCATAAAGTGCGATACTTTGCCGAGTCATTTTCTTTTCTTTTAACCCGGACCCGTAGAGTAGATAGAATAACAATCCATACCCGAAAACAAGCGTGGATCCCGTCGAGTACGACGGACGTGAGGGGTGCTAATACCTTCCCCTTGCGTAACCGACTCCCGAACCCAGGTTTTGGTTGCGATGACCATACCTTTCCCCGTTTTGCGGTAGGTTTACCTCGAGCGTTTCCTTTCCCTCCGTTGGGATAAATAACGCGCGGTGGCGACTCTTCTGTTCAGCCGGCGCCGATTTTCGCAGTAGCGACACCGGCACAAGAACTTCAACGGAAACTCATGAACATCGCGAGGAAGATTCTCCTCGACATAAGAACTTCAATGGAAACTCATGAACGTCGTGAGGAAGATCCTCCTCGACTCAAGAACTTCATCTAAAAATTCATAGATCTACCAGCAAGAGTCACACTCATCGCCTCGACAGCGGTGCCCGAGCGAATTTCCACTATAAACCTAGAATTTCTAAGAGTAATACTCTCCTACCGCCTGTGTTTGGAGGTGACCAAACCACCACCAAACACCAACACCCGTCGGATCCCAACATGCAAACTTACATTTTAAACTTGCAGACAAATTGAAGATTAGACAAAGGATGCTTGCTTGATCAGAAAGTAGTGGAATATACGAATGAAGTTGGTGGTGATGGTGGCGACGGGGGAAGACGATGGAAAATCACTCCAAAGACAACGAGAAAGCTAAGGGGAGAGTGATGAAAAATGAACGAATGAGTCCCACTTCTCCCTACTTATAATCCTAGCATGAGTTACCGTATCGTCGCATAGGTTCTCAAGTACCCCTACTCGTAGGCCGTCATAGGCATTTAATGTTTCTGACACGTGGCTCGAAAAGACGTCACGTTTGTCCTTTCAAGTCCCATCATATGGCTCGAGGAAACGGCGTGTTTGCCTCTTCAAATCCCATCACGTGGCTCAAGGAGACGACATGTTTGTCTCTTCAAGTCCCCTTAATCTACCAGACTCCAAGGTGTCAGGCACGCATTCGTGAGCATAGCCTCGTCGCTTTTTCGCAACATTCGCGAGCACGTCCTCAAAGATATTTTGAAGCAAATTCGCGAGCAGCTTGGCATCTCCCGAGAAAAAACTCGACGAGAACTTTTAACAGGCTTGCATTGTCGGGCACGAGGAATAATTTTCATGCTCCCTCGCGAGCATAGCTCTGCGAGCTCGTAGCTACAAACCCGAATAAACACTCTTCCCACGGGGATTTCCTTTGTCCCTCTTCGACATAAAAACTGACTCTAAGTCATTACTCTCCTGCCTTGGAGCAACGATTTGGGGGGCTCCTGTTCTGGACTGGTCCTAGAACTGGCCCACCTTCGGGAGTTGCCCAGTCCAACTCCGCATCAAAGAAGGCCTAACGCAAAGGCACAATCCATTATACCTCTTAGAGAGCACATTCCCCACGTGCTCCTCACCCAAAGACACATGGCCAGCTGATCTCGCGGAAACGTTCCGCCCTTCGTAACAGACACACCTTCCACTTTTCGGAGAACGCGGAGCATTTGACCCAGAATGGTGATCACAAGCGGCTCATCCCTACCTCCATGTAGGAATCCTGGTAGTCATCCATTATGAGCCGGATCACTCAGCCCATAATGGAGACAGTTGGCCCAGTGTTGGGGCCTCTCTATAAATACCCTCTTCTGATGGAGAATTAGGTATTCAATTCAACCCTATTCTTCGCTGTACTTGCATTCTTTCACTCTGAACTGACTATAGAATTGAAGTGCCTTGCAGGTACACCCCTCACCCTCCGGTTTTCCTCACTTGACGTTGGAGACCACGGCGTATTGTTGGTCACCGATTCACTTATGATCACCGGTAAGATCATATAAATACACCCAAAATAACATCAGATCCATGTAGAGTCGTTGGATAATAGAAGCATGGTCATTGTATTAAAGAACAAATTATATGTTGACATTTGTCATCCTGAACGGTCATGATTATAATTGAAAGATGCTGGTCAAAAGGAAATTCTAGTAATACCACTATATAAAGAAGTATAATCGTAGAACCAATGTACACAATCTTAAAACCTTAAAAATATTTTATCATTTTACACTTTCATTCACTGATTTGGACATATCGTTAGAGTGTTTTGTAAGTACTATCCTCGCCACTCCTATAAATCGAGAAAAAGCTCTCAACATCGATGTATCATCAAATATTGTTATATTGTCGATTTTCAACACAGTTATAAGATATTTTAGTTTGGACGAGATCACCAGATGTTGTTATCTTGTCTATTTTCAACACAATTTTAAAATATTTTAGTTTGGACGAGATCTGAAATTAACAAATAAAAATTATGTTTTAAAATACACAATTTTTAACTTTATAAATTTTGATCACATCATTTCTAATATAATAAAAACAATATTAGTAGAATTAGTACAAAGTTACAGTCTAGAAATACTTTGAACGTCTATTGATCAGTGTGACCCCAACCTTAATTGATTGTAAGAATCAAAAACCTTATTTTGTAGTTATGTGCTCTCTATGACTTCTTTCAACCTCTTTGAAACTTAGTTCTTATAGGCCACAGCTTGCCTTTGAATAAATCATTCCAAGAAAATAGTACAAATATATAAAAATAAAACATTTCTCTAAAACCAAATGGCCCTAAACTTTTTCTCTCTTTTTGTTTTTACCCAAGATTCTTTTTCACTTGGTTCATTTCACATAATGACAACATTAGACAAAACTTTTTTTGTTTGTTTCTATATACCCTTACTTTGTTAATGTCAATTTAATTATTGTCCATTCTTATCTTTAATTCAAGAATAATTAGTCATTGACCTTGTATTACCACATTTGGACAATAGATTCATATATTATTCTTGAAGGCTCATATGAATATAAGAGAGAGAATTTTATCCCATTATTATTATCACCATTTCAATCTTCTTCTTTCCTCAATAAGAATCAACTTGCAAAGAGTTCTCTTAACTACCTCAAACTATTTTCCAAATATCTGAGTTTAGCAAGTTCATGTCAATATTTTGATATGAGAGAGGTTTGGAATATAGGAACATGCAGTCAACAACAACAAGAAGAAAAATCATCTAATACAAACACTATTATGAGCCGTTTTGAGTCACCAACTTCTGCTTTTTATGCAACAGAAACCTGCATGGGTTTTGCAGAATTTGATAACAATCAATCTTTGAATACTCAAGTACATAAGATCAATGATTTGGAGTACCCTTTATGTCAATCTTTAAGGGAAAACAGTCAGTTTCTGGATTCATCAAACCAATCTGATCCCAACTTTGAACTGTCAAATACTTTGCAAGCATTGGTGAAATCTCAATTGAATGGTAATCAATGTGTTAGATTACCAGAAAACTTCGATAAATTTTCATCCGAGAATTTTCCTAGGATCAAGCCTTTTCCATTTGAACAACAGAAGTTGTTTTTCGATGATCTTGCCTCGGTTAACAGAAGCTCGTCATTTTGTAACAAAGGAAATCATGAATACACGGTAAGCGCGATTGAAAAATAAATCTTGTATGGCCTCTTCTATGACTATCTCTCCAGCAGAACACTCAGTCGTTAAATTAATCTAACGACCGAGGTTCTGATGGAGAGACTAAAGAGGATCTTGTCTGAAATCTTTGAAGATTCAATAGTCTTATTATTACATCTTTTTTGTAGGTTGCTCGCGGAACTTATCATTTATCGGTTGAACAACTGAATTTCTCTTCTCAACATGAGAAGTTATCTCCAACAATTTCATCAGCAAGTTTCTCGAATTCTCTTGGAAACTCTTCTTCTAATGGAAATGTAGTTTCTAGTAAAACAAGAATCAGGTGGACAAAGGATCTTCATGAGAAGTTTGTCGAGTGTGTGAATCGCCTCGGTGGCGCTGACAGTAAGTATAGCTTATAAAATTTGTCAATAGAGCAAAATTGTTTTAAAAAATCTTATAGTCCTCTATTGGTTTGTTGATGATAGAAGCAACACCAAAAGCTATATTGAAGATGATGGATTCTGAAGGTTTGACTATATTTCATGTGAAAAGTCATTTGCAGAAATATAGAACTGCAAAGTTCATGCCAGAGTCAGCTTCAGGTTTTTTTTTCTTTGTTTTCTTAGTATTAAATTTAGTTTAGTTTGATGACTTTCTTTTTAATTTTTAGTTTATTATTTTTGGTTTCATGCCATAAATGATAAGTATGTGTTTTTGTTTTATAGTGTTTGTAAATGGATAGGATATATGTTTCTCCATTTGGCTTTGTCTTTTATTGTGAAGTTATTGAAAAGGATGAAATTAAGTAATGCAAATTATTCATAGTGAATAATGTGAGTGGTTAAATAGGATTTAAATATATAAAGTTGATATGTAGAATAAATGCCTTTATATCCACTAGTATGGTGGAAGTTTCAACAAGTATATGACAAATATTTTTGGTAGAAATCAAATATTGTCTGCCCGTAACGGTAGAGACTAATTTCTCAGATCAGAAAAAACCACAATGAGTGGTAAAAGTCTCTTTGAAAGAGATCTCTTACCAGTTCTCTTAGATTTTGGTTTAGATTTGATTGATTAGTGGTTTAAATTCAATTATTCATAAATTACTGTTTGATATGATCTTATTTTCTATATTTTGTCATAATTACTCCCAATATTGAACAAACATATGTTTCCTATTTCAGGAAAATCTGACAAAAGAATCTATAAAGAGGAGTTGCATCATGTTGGTGTTAAAGCGTAATGCTTTTTTTTTATGCCTAATCTACTATATTGTGTTCTTAAATTAAGTATGATACTTAGCCATACTCAATATATATTAATACTTCAACTAAATTTACCCTAATCTTGATTTGTAGTGGCTTTCAAATTAAGGAAGCACTTCAACTTCAATTAGATGCACAAAGACACCTTCATGAACAGCTAGAGGTATATACTCTTCATAGTATTTAGCACCACACATCTCATGAAATGTGTGTCTGGTGTGTAAAATGTTAGGGTCAAACACAGACACAGATTCTTTAATTAACTTATTTTTTAAAATTAGTATCAGTGTCGTGTCTGTGTGCATAATTCATAGTTTATTTACTTGCAGATTCAAAGAACATTACAATTGCGACTTGAGGAACAAGGCAGACAGCTGAAAAAGATGTTTGATCAGCAGCAAAAGACATGTAACAACTTCTTTAATCCTCTGACTACAATCAATGATGATGATTCAAAAAGTAGTCAAAAAGATGTTGAAGTTTCTATTTCTGAAGGGGCTGAAAATTCTTTGTTCCCTTGTAAAACCTCTCCGGATACATAATTTGGTAGTTATGTATAAAATTATAGTTTTCCTGAAGCTTACTCCTTGTAAGCAACAGAAAAATCTCAGCGTGCAATTTTGCTATGGGAATAAAAGTATTGTTGATCCTACAAATATGAACTCAGTGAATTAACTAGTAGTGGTACATATATTCTAGTGTTGTTGCATATATAAAATCCTATAGAAACCATAAGCATTGTACAGTTGTACTAAAGTAAACTATAGCAGCATTATTGAGGGAAAATGTATATTAAATCTGCACTAGTTCAAGTTTTACTAAATAATTATTTTATTCACTATGATTGGATTAAGTCCCCACCACCAATGTCATTGTGAAAATAATCAATAGTGTACAAATAATCTGGAAGGTTTAATTTAGGTTTAATACCCTTAATCTGAAAGGTTTAATTTAGGTTTACTGTTCATTTTATTTTGTATTTTATATTCGGGGTTTATGATCTCATAATTTTAAAAATGATTATTTGGATCTCTTGAGGTTTAAAAACATATCGTGTAGTCATTTCCGTCGAAATGTCACAAACTCCGTCAATTTTTGTTAATGTGTAACATTTAACTTTTGTGACCGACTTATCAATCGAAAAATTAATCACTAAAAATGTTTTCTAGATTTTAATTATTGATTTCCATCTTTCTCGTCAAACCCACAAAATTCAATATTTTCAAAATATTGTGAAATGTTGGATCGAATTCTAGTATGGTCGAAGTCTGTTCGCGAGTAATGCATGTTGTAGTCGAAGTCTGTTCTAACATGCATTAGTCAATATTGTTAGGGTTGTTAGCATGTTGAATTGGGTCTTGCTTGTAAGCCCAATTGTTTAAGTTAGCTTGTACCCTAAGTTAGCTTGTAATGGGTAATTGTTAAAAAGTCCATTAGGTTAGTGTGTTATTTTATTATAAATAAGATGATAGTTTCTCAATCATGACATAAGGAAAAATAGGAAGATAAAATTTTAATTTCGAGAGAGAGAGATTATTTTGTTATTCTTGTATACTTGTAATCTTGTTCGAAGAGAAAGGAAAGAATAACAGTTTAATAATCAATCTTTGTTGTTTTCTTCTTTATTAACCCTAACACTTGTGTGTTTCTTGCTAAGAAACCGTTTATACTTTGTTTAAAGGTATCCGATTCACAACAAATTGGTGCGGTGAGCGTGGAGAAGATGCCTTCAACAAAGTATGAGATTCAAAAGTTCACCGGAGTGAACGACTTCGGCCTGTGGTGCTTGAAGATGAAAGCCCTATTAGTTCAGCAGGGTTGTTTGGGAGCGTTGAAGGGTGAGGCAGCCATGAACGATGCGTTAACGACAAAAGAAAAGACGGGCATGATCGAGAAAGCCCACAACGCAATATTGTTGAGCCTTGGTGATAAGGTTCTTCGACAGGTATCAAAGGAGACTACAGCATCAGGATTATGGGTGAAACTTGAAAGTTTGTACATAACCAAATCTCTGGTGAATCGACTCTACCTGAAGCAAGCTTTATATTCATTCAGGATGAGTGAAGACAAAGTGTTGGCTGAGCAGTTGGATATGTTCAACAAGTTGACTCTTGATCTTGAAAATATTGATGTGAAGATCGACGATGAAGATCAAGCACTGTTGTTGTTGTGTGCTTTGCCCAGATCACATGCTCACTTCAAAGAAACTCTCTTGTATGGAAGGGAGTCGCTGACCTTTGAAAAAGTTCAATCAGCTTTGTACTCTAAGGACTTGAACGAACGAAAGGAATATAAACCTTCAACGGTGGGCGAATGTTTGACCGTTAAGGAAAAATTCTTGCGAAAGGATGGTAAGTTTGACAAGAAGAAAGGTAAAAGTCAACAGAAGTCTTATAGTGGCGAAACATCTAGTATTCGATGTTATCACTGTAAGAAGGAGGGTCACATAAGAAAGGTGTGCCCTGAACGCCTGAAAGATCATGGAGGTAATGACAATGCAGCCATTGTTCAAGATAACTTCGAATCATCTGATGTTCTTGTGGTTTCAAGTGGCGACTCGAGGAAAGAGTGGATTATGGATTTAGGTTGCACTTGGCACATGACTCTAAAAAGAGAATTGTTCGAGGAGCTATGTGATCAAGATGGTGGATCTATGCTACTGGGAAACAACAAATCTTGCAAAATTGCAAGTATTGGATCTGTGAGATTCAAGCTCCGTGATGAGTGTTGCTACGCGTAAAATGACACAGAGTCGCCACCGGATTTTATTTATCCCATGGAGGGAAAGGGAAATAGCGATAAAACCTTTTGAAAAAGAGCATGGTCATCGCAACCAAGTCTTAGGGTTCGGGAGTCGGTTATGCGAAGGGAAGGTATTAGCACCCCCTCGCATCCATCGTACTCGATGGGAACCTCCTAGGTTATTTCGCGTGAATGGGTATTTTATTCTAAAAGTTTGCTTATTTAAAGGAAGAAGGGTTGGTGTTTATTAGAGTGTTCTCCAAGGATTGGGGCCCTAGTGCCTACGTATATTCACTCGTGGGAAGTGAAGAATCAGAGCATTCGTAGTTCACGTGACTACGGTGGAAAATGGGAAGTTTGGGTGGACGATGCTATCGTGCGCATTCTAGCAGTTAGGTGTATTGCGACTCGCTCTTGGAGTCTTATGTGTTACCTGTTTGCGGTAGAACGGACGTAACATGTCCTTGGGTTAAAGGGTATGGATGATTAAAGATGGGAAAGAAAGAAAATTGTGCTCGCTAGGATCATCGCAATCCTATGCCTACGTATTCTCAACATGTGTGAGAAATCAGAGCAGCCGTAGTTCGGCCACTTAGGAAATAATTGTGTATTGGTTGATTTTATACCTCGAAAAAGGGTTTTCGGATTGACGCCCTAAGGCAAAAGAAGTTTGATGAGTTGATATTGTTTTTTAGGTTTTTCTTAGGGAAGAATTTATTCTTGACTAGGATTATACAAAAGACTTTGGATAGAGACGAATGTCTCGAATAACCAAGTCGAGCGCCTTGTATTCAAAACATTCGGAACGAGTGTAGGAGGATTCCATTCTCATTCCTTCTCCACCACTTTAAAGTTCATGGTGCATAATTATAATCATATATTTTATTGTGTTTTGGATTTTTATGAGAAAAGAGAACCACTTGACGTTGGATCAAGGTTTATTGTTTGTAAAGATGTTTGAAGCGATACGGACAAGGTCGATGGCGATGTGCAAGGCAATCGACTTACAAGGTTAAAAATGGCTCGATAAAATTGAGAGTTTGTTTTTGAAAATGGTTTTTGGAATCAAAAGTCAACAAGGACAATAGCAATATTCACACCAAAATCATACAAACATATGGGGTTAGTCGGCTAAAAAAAATTGAGACATGCAAAAAAAACGGCACCATCAACGTGTTCACCGTGCGAACTCATTGAAAAAAAAAATTTAAGGTAAAAACAGCAAAAAATAAACAAACTGATCAGTTCGTGCCGCGAAGGGTGTTTGCACCGCGGACCGAGAAAAATGGACATTCTGTTTTTTGCATGTTCGCGTCGCGAACTGAGAAAGTTATCATTCTGTTATTTGCATGTTCGCGCCGCGAACTGAGAAAGTTGTCATTCTGTTTTTTGCATGTTTGCGTCGCGACCTGAAGCGAAAAATGCAATATTTGCTGTTTTTTTGCTATCTTTTGTGGTTTTCTTTCCTTTCTATTGGTTCTTTAAAATGGTTTTTTGGTTCCTTTAGGACCTCACACAATACACCCAACACAAACACACTTAACAAATGATAATAAATGGCAAGTGTAGAAATATAAAGAGAGAAAAAGTTTGAAATGGATACCCAAGAGCTTCCTCCTTCTTTGTTAAGCTTCCACTGGTTTGGTTGTGTATTTTCTTCCTTCTTCCTTCTATGCTTTGAAGGTGCTTCTCCTCAAAGGTTCTCTATGGGTTTCTATGGAACTCTCTTGATTTTTTGCTGGTTTTCTTTCTCACTCTTTTTTCTGGTTTTCTTTCTAAAATTCCTTGCTCTCTTTTTATCTTTTTTCTCAATGTCTCGTGGATGTTGAGTGTGTAGAGAATGACCCCTTTGTTTACAGCCCCTTCCCTTCTTATCTTATTTTTCTAGGGTTTTCCCTTCTCCCCAAACATCAGATTTTTTCATGGGGTAATGTCTCCTACCACCTTTTCTCATGTCACTCTCTTTCTTTCCATTTTCATGCAAGCTCTTATGCTGTATTTTTGCTGCACTACTCTACATTGCTGTCTTTTTTCTGCTGCACTTTGTATCTTGCACCCCTTTTGTTGGATTGTGTTTTGACAGCTCTTGTGGTCAATGCTACTACCCTTTTGACAGCATTTTGAAATATCTGATATTTAGTATGTAAATGCATCATTGTGGGTTCATTTCCTTGGTCTTGTGACATGCATATTTTGTGACATGAGGCAACTTGTTACTTCTGCATGGGGCTGCTTTGGATCACATTAAAATCAACATTGGCCAAGCATGCATTGTCTTGATCTTGGCATGAATTTGATTAGAAACTTGAATGAAGATTAGAAATAGATTAGTTTCTAAACATTACTTAGAGTTGGAAATCTTGTAACACATAACATTCTTATAATGTCATAAAATTTCTCTTTGTAACATGCTTGCCTCTAATCTTAAATTCATAAATCTTGAATTTTGCATGATGGATTTTTCTCCTACCATTAAACTTGAAATGGATGAAGTCTTAAATTATGCACTTGTAATCTTGACTCACGTTTTGCAAATTTGAACTCCATTTGACCAAGAATTTGAAACAAAATTGGATGAAGCAAACTTGGATTTGGCCTTGCATTTCATGTTCATTAGGAATATTTATCTTGAATATCCCAATATTTTTCAAGTAACTTCTTCTTGAAGTAATCTACATGAGTAGACTTTCCAACTTAGATCAAGCCTTAGGTGATGAACCTTTTCTTCCATGTATTCCATGATAGGAAATCTATCTCATTTGAAATGAAAAATAACAAATCGACCCAATCTATACCTTAT